AGATATCAAGCAAAGCCTAAGAAGTCTCACCTTCTAGCGGTAAAAAGGGTAATCAAGTATATCAAAGGCACAGTTGATTATGGGCTGCATTACACAAAGGATACGAGTACGCATCTAGTAGGATACTGTGATGCAGATTGGGGAGGAAATACGGATGATCGAAAAAGCACATCAGGAGGATGTTTCTTTTTGGGTAACAATCTCGTATCATGGCACAGCAAGAAACAAAATTCAACGTCATTATCCACTGCTGAAGCCGAATACATCGCACTGGGAAGTTGCTGTACTCAACTAATGTGGATGAAGCAAATGCTGACTGACTATGGAATTGACACTCCCTCGTTTACAGCTCATTGTGACAACACAAGTGCAATCAACATCTCTAAAAATCCTGTTCAGCATTCACGAACAAAGCATATAGAGATAAGACATCATTTCCTTAGAGAGCAAGTGGAGAAAGGGAGTCTTTTGATTGAGTACGTACCCACTGAACATCAATTAGCTGATATATTTACTAAACCACTTGACATGAATAGATTTACTTGTTTGCAAAAATCTCTTGGTATTGGAAATTTTTGATTTTGATCACTAACTGCAATTGTTCTGAAGTGCTCAAGTCATAGTGTTGAAAGGGCGGTCGGTGATACTTCACAATTCTGTCAGGTGCACTTCAAACATATGAGATACAAAAATCCCCTGGTACTCCTCTGTCAGCATACACTCATCAGGCACAAGTGAGTGGTGTTTTGTTTCAATTTGTTAAAAAAAAAAAAAAGGGAAAAAGAAAAGAAAGAAAAAGGTTGACATGAGTAGATTAACAAAATCGCTCGGATCTAAGTTGAACAACATACAGTTCTTTCGACGGTCTAAGGTCAGATGAACCGGATTCATCATACTCCGCTGTGAGGTCACACCTTACAAGAGTATATCTCAATGAGATAGACTGGGCTTAAGTGGTGAAACAGTATGATTGGATTCAACGTCCTAGAAGTTCAGGCGAATGAAAAACAAATACGAAAAAAAATATATATATATATATATATATATAT